TTTCCGCATTAGACTCGGGAATGGCCAACAGCGGTGCACCTCGAAGGAAGTGACCCGGAGTAAGTGCTGTCATATCAGCTGGGTCTTGAGAAAGTGCGGATAGAGGCCTCGACCTGAGGACTGCTTCAATTAGCACCAGAAGCGTCGTGAATTCTTCGGAAGTGAACTTGTGGGTTGCAGCGGTTTTCTTTAAATGGATTTTAAAGCTTTTCACTGCAGATTCCCACAAGCTGCCCATGTGGGGGCGCTGGGTGGTATATATTGCCAGTTGATGCCTTGAGGGGCATATTTTTTGACCATGTCTGCGGAACATTCGTTAAGGAATTTAACGAAGTCGCGTTCTGTTGCGCGCTGGACGCCAATGAACGTTTTTCCATTGTCGCTCATCATTTTTGAGGGGAAACTCCGTCTGCCTACGAAGCGGGCAAATGCTGCTCGAAAAGCCTCGGTTGTAAGATCCGAGCATAGCTCGAGATGCACTGCCTTTGTGGAAAAACAGACAAAAACTGCAACGTATCCCTTGATAAGGGTTGTAGATCTTAGCACCGATGCTTTAATTTGGAATGGCCCAGCAAAATCTACTCCCGTTGTGGAAAATGGGAGTGAGAAACTGCAGCGCTCAGGGGGTAGAGCGGCCATTATTTGGGTGCGTGTTTGTTGCTTGTAAAGCGTGCACACTTTGCATTGAAAAATGCATTTTTTAATTAGAGGTTTTAGGTTTGGTACGTAGTACTCTTGCCTTACCATTTGGAGCATTAATCGTGTTTCTGCGTGAAGAAGCAGCGAGTGTAAAAACTCCAAATATAGCTGGCAGAACCTCGATTCGGTAGGGAGAATTATTGGGTGCCTTTCATTATAGCTCAATGTGGAATGTGCTAATTGGCCATTAGTCCGTAAAAGTCCGTCTTTGCCCAACGAAGGATTGAGAACAATAAGAGGACTTTTTTTGTTAAGTGGCTTTTTATCTTGCAAAGCGCTATTTTCGCTCCTTTGGAAATTTTTCTAAAATGGCCGGATGATTGGCCGTTAGTTTCTTGAGTATGAAACCAGCTGACTTAAGCGCTTTGATCACTTGAAAAAGTGATTCAGTGGCGTTGTCAATATCATGACTTCCGGATAGGATGTCATCCACATACGTTTCGGTTTTAAGTATTGTGGAAGCCAAGGCAAATTTCGCTATCGTATCATCTGCTAATTGATGCAGGGTACGGATAGCGAGGTATGGTGCACAATTAGCCCCGAACGTTACGGTTTTAAGATTGTAATCGGTGACAGGAGAGTCAGCCGATGTGCGAAATAAGATTCGCTGAAAATCTTTATCGTCCTCATGGATGAGTATTTGACGATACATTTTTTCAATGTCGCCATTGAACACGAATCTGTGCATTCGCAACTGCAGAATGAGCAGCATGAGATCTGGCTGGAGTGTGGGACCAGTGTGCAACACGTCATTCAGGGATTTTCCTGAACCAGATGTTTTTGAGGCGTTGAATACCACGCGAACTTTGGTGGTCACCTTATCCGGCTCGAAGGACCATGAATATTTTAGGTCGCTTAGCCCCTTCGCACTCTCCTTGTAATCACGCACTTCGATCTTTATACCCACACACACTTTCCGTTTGAAGGAAAACAATTTCTTTCGACTTTAAATTTATAGAGCTTTAATTGGGTTTATATTTAGGTCTTGTAGCTTCGTTCTTCACACTTCAAAACTTACAATTCAAAGTTGCATATACATATGTACATATCATACAACCCGCTTATTTATAAAATAGACTTAACATTCTCATTAATTAAAATCGCAAAAAATACTAATTTGGGAAGGGCGCGTGCGCGATGTCCGACGTTAATTGCAGAACTGACTGGTCTCTCATTTGGCCCGATGATGGGAAGCGGCCGTGCGCGCTCGTTAATCATTTTTCGAACTTCACACCGCTGCGGCCACAGGATGCGCGCACGGCCGCTGAATTGAGTTTAAGCGGCGGCTTAAACAACAGTTGACTGGTATTAGAAACCTACAGCATCAGGCAGGCTTATAAATTTTAATTCCAACCACGAGAGGAGGACAATTATAAATACGGCTACCAACTTCATCCGCAGAGTACTCACCATAAGTGATAAGATGTACCACAAGAAAAATATTGACATTATTAA